TATGTATGTATGTATGTATGTATGTATGTATGTATGTATGTATGTATAAAAAGACTATCTTAGCAAGTAACTGTACAATCAAATTACTTCATTTATAGTCTCCACCTGTCCCAGAGTATACACTTTCTAATAAAGTTCCCTGTACAGCCCTTTCACTAGCTACCATTTCAATTTACCTTAGGGTAGATCTTTTCATAGAAGAAGTTCTGAGAAAGAACATAAAGTTCCCCATCCTTTTCCCGGACGGCATGACCACGGACAAACTGAAACTGTTCAAGTGCAAACTCATATAACTCATTCTCCATTTTCCAGATGTCTGATTGCTGCAGCTTGTCTATAGTCTCTTTGGCGGGGGGCTTCTTCTCAGTAGTTTTCCTCAGATGGGACTTCTTTCCTGTTAAAACACAAGAAACGTGTGTCTTAAGTCCCAAAAATTGAAGGACTTGTCTGCAAGTCTTGACATTTTTATAAAAGCATTCTAATTGCAGGTATTGATCGGCAACAACATTCATTGCATTCATCACAGAACCATCAGAAACACTGAATCCATAGCAGTTGGCAAGTGGTTGGTGGGCAGAGGTGATGTACGATGCAAATGCACATGTTTTTTTTTAAGGATACTAACTGTCTTTAAGTGATAGCACAATTGGCTTAGCTGCAGTGAAGAGAATTCATTATGCTATTCAAAACAATTTAACACGTTACAAAGAATTGACAAGCCTTCACCTTGTTTCTAAACATGAGTTATTTTGTCTTCTCTCTCTCAAATACTTAATTGTTTCCTATAAAACAAAACAGTATCCACCTATCCATATTCCTCTGCTTATCTATGGTCGGGTCACAGGGGCAGTAGCCTAAGCAGGGAAACCCAGACTTCCTTCTCTCCCTCCACTTTTGCCAGCTCCTCTGGAGTGATCCAAAGGCGTTCCCAGGACCGTTAATAAACATAGTTTCTCAGCAGGTCCCGGGTCTTCCTCTGGGTCTCCTTCCGGTGGGATGTGCCCAAAACAACTCGCTAGGGAGGCGTCCGGTAGGCATCCCAATCAGATGCCCGGGGCACCTCAAATGGCTTCTCTTGACGTGGAGGATCAGCAACTCTACGCTGCGCCCCTCCCGGATGACTGAACTTCTCACCCTATCCCTGAGGGAAAGCCCAGCCACCCTGCGAACAAAACCTATTCTGGCTGCTTATATCCGCAATCTCGTTCTTCTGGTTATTACCCAAAGTTTGAGACCATAGCTGAGGGTGGGAACGTTCCCACCTCAGATTGACCGGTAAATTGAGAGTTTCGCTTTTAGGATCAGCTCAGACCACAGACCACTACAGCGCCCATATCACTGCCAACGCTCCACTCCCACTTCATTTTACCCCCATTCGTGAACAAGACCCCGAGATACTTAAACTCCTCCACTTGGGGATGGACATCTCCCCCGACACGGAGGAGGCACTTTACCATTTTCCGCTCAGTGGAGCAACTCTTACTTGAAGATAGATAGATAGATTACCGTATTTTCCGCACTAAAAGGACCGGATTATAAGGCGCACCGTCAATGAATGGTCTACTTTTAAACAATGTCCATATACCGCATTATAAGCCGCATAGAATAAATACGTAGTGGCTGGGGTTGTGTTCTGCATCCACAAGATACAGCTAAGTAAAAAAAACAATCAGATAAATCAGTCAAACTTTATTAATAGAATACAAACCAGCGTTCTGACAACTTTGTTCACTCCCAAAATGAACAAACAGCTGTTTTCTTATTTTTCCCGAGATAATTTCAGTGACATACTTTTTTCGCGACACAGTTTATCTTTTAACAACAACAATGTATAATAGATATTGCAACATTTTTATCAGGTAGTGGAGGGGAACTTTTCCTCGACTCAGTAAACACATGAAAGAAACAGTCTGATACCGTTACAGTAAATCAAACGTTAGTGCTATCACAATATATAGCGTTTAGCATAAAGCTGACAAGCTTTTCTCATAAAAAAAACAAAACCGCAGGTATAGAATTAGTTGAACTACCTGTTGTCGTAGTTAAGATCAGATTCAACGTTTACCTTTAACGTCCACATTTTTTTTAAACAGCCCCATTCTCATACTGCGTCGACTTTTAAAATGGGTACTAATACATTGTACATTGTACAGTACAGTAGAATCCCTAGAAGGCGGCGCCTCTTCATCGTGCTTGCATGGTGTACTAACTTGTTTTATGGGAGAAAAAGGAGTCGGCGGCTGCTTCCGTATTTGCCAGACCTTTTGCACTCAGTCCTGATCAAAATATATGGTGCACCGGATTATAAGGCGCACTGTCGGTTTTTGAAAAAATTTAAGGCTTTTAGGGGCACCTTATAGTGCGGAAAATATGGTACTTTATTCATCCCCGAAGGGAAACAAGTCCGACTTACTGCCTGCAATGCCGATCAAGCTCAGGTACCAGCCATACATAGCCTGTATCAAAGGGCCTGGTATCCCATACTCCTGGAGCACCTCTGCCAGGATTCCCAGGGGGGCACGGTCAAACGCCTTCTACAAGTCCACAAAACACATTGAAACTGGTTGGGCAAACTTCCATGTACCCTCCAGGACCCTGGATTGGAGCCGGTGGGATTGAGGAGGTCTTCACTACCGACCCACAAAGTCATGAGTTGAGGTCAACAGCACACCTTCCCCACTGTAAACAGTGTTGGTGGAGCACTGCTTCACCCCTGAGATGCCAGATGGTGGACCAGAAACGCCTCAAAGCCATAACGGAGGTCTTTTTCCATGGCCTCTCTGAACTCCTCCCACCCCAAAGTTTCTGCCTCAGCAACCACCGCTTGGACTGCCAATACTTATCAGCTGCCTCTGGAGTCCCACAGGCCATAAAGGCCCAATAGGAAGGCCCAATAGAAAGGCCCGGTAGGACATCCATCTTAAAAAGAAAATGCAGCACACTATGGCAAGGAAGTAATGCCATAAAAAAAGTAAAAAGTAATGCTGTCTTCCCAAAACACATTAAATAAATAAAAAATGTTGCTCGTTTTCTACAAACAGATACAACGTATTTCCAAGTTTTGACTTACTTTCCATATCTCCTCTTAAACTGTTGTCTCACTTTCCTCCAGTTTACCATTCAAAAACTGTGGCTGCACCACCTGGTTCCAATATGTTTTAACAACAAAGTGCTAAAAGACTTAAAAATGTGAGGAGAGGAGATAAAATGTGATGATTTATGCAACAACGGATTTGCCAATACATGCTTACATATTCGTTGGACAAAATTCAGATCGGGGAATCTCTCCATCCCTATAGCAGACTTGATGCCCATGGATCATGTATCAAATCACAAGCCTGTTATTTTACACTCAGCAAGTTAATCAAAGGGAATTTAAGTGAGGTGTTATGAGTGAGTGATATGATGTGCATCTACCTGTTCTGTAGAGGTCTGTGGCTCCCTTGAAGAAGCGTGGGAGTGCTGCCTCCAGAATCATGATGAAATCGTCCAGCTCCTCAGTTACTCCGACTAACACGTACTCATTCACTATGTTGTATTTAGCCTGTTCCAGAGCCCATCTACTGCCTGCATTCCTGTAAACAAATGACAGATAAACAAGAATTTTTTTTTTATATAAAAGGCGGTTTAAAGTTAGGTGCCAGTGTAATCCCAATTCTCTGAAAACTTTGCTCAGTATCTCACTATAAGAAGTGTCCTCTGGCATGACCATAAACCAACTTAGAACAGCTCCTTTAATGCCAATGAAATGTTCCAGTCTCTGTAATGGGATCTGATGGTCAATGGTGTCAAAAGCAGTACTAAGATCTAATAAAACCAATACGGAGACGAGTCCTTTGTTTGATACCGATAGAAGGTCATTGTCTCTGTGCTATGATGAGCTCTAAATCCTGACTGAAAATCTTCAAACAAGCTATTGCTATGTAGATAGTCACACAGCTGTTTGGCTACTGCTTTCTCCAGGACCTTGGAGATGAATGTAAGGTTAGATATAGGTTGATAGTTGGCTAAAACATCTGGGTTAGGCTTTTTCAGAAGAGGTTTAATTACAGCTACTTTAAAGTACTGTGGCACATTGCCTGTTAATAAAGACAGATTGATCGCGTCTAGCAGAGAAGTACCGACTAAGGGTAGGACTTCTTTAAGGAACCTAGTCGGGATGGGGTCCAAGAGGCAAGTTGAGGGTTTGGAAGAAGAAATGATTGAAGTTAGTTGACAAAGATTGAGGAAAGCAAAACAGTCAAAACGTATAACTGGTTCTGGTCCTACAGTTACTGAGTTTAAAGAAACTGAGTTTAAATAAACTCAGTAACTCAGTAACAGAGAAAGTTACACCATTTTTATTCTCATTAGCAAGCGGTGGAGGATGAAATACCTGTAACTCCCCTGACAGGCACATTTCACAAACTTGGGAACAAAATTGGGTTAGGGTGTAACAAAACCCCCTTAAAATCTGGGGAAACTTCCGACATGAGGCGTGCATCAATAAAGCATGCAGCTCCCAAATTCTTTTTGCTAATGTTAATCCCAGCAACAAAATAGCATACAGTTAAGTGTCTGGCCACGAATAAGCCAGCGCATCCAACCTCAATGGTGCGACTCGATTTCTCAGTGAAAGACGAGGGGACACTGCATTTTCGTGCAATGGAAAAAGATCTACGGTCGCTCGGCCGAATCCCTAGACAACCTATGGGTTTAGCCACTCCCCATACAGTAGGTTTCCCCAGGAAAGCAAATCTGTTCTGCTGTTCAGCACAATAAAGATAAGCGCTACATGTAACAGGAAGAGAGAACGACTGTTCCACATTATCACGCGGTGGGACCCTGTGGAGCCTCACAAAGTAGGTACCACCCTGTCAATCTATATAAGCAACTGCCGTTGTATTGACTGATCTGACCAGAACTTGACAATCCCTCAGGCTTGGTAAAAAATGTTTCAGAGTTAGGAGCACTTTTAGTAGCTCCGGATAATTGTTATGAGCAAGTCAGAGCCTGGAGGCCAAATATCATTCACGGCTCTCCCATCAAAACGGCCCGCTACACTGTCAATGAGGCATCCATTGTCATATTTTTCCTCAAAATCAGTGTTCCCAACGGGTCACGGCTAGTGAACACTCTTGGATGTCTCCAATAACATAGACAATCGTGGACACTGTAATCCTTCGATTGACATCGCACATCCAGCCACAATACTGAAAATCCTGCATCTTCTGATGCTCCTGAGGTAAAACTGTGATCACGGAGGCCATTAGCCTTGTCAGATGCATCCATAATTTCAACAAGATCGAGTCTGTGAAATAATCAGAGGTGATGGACGAACCTTTCCTGCCTTTCTCTTGACAAAAAACATTGAAAAGGGAATTTATTTAAAGCCCTTATCTAAACCCTGTTGGCACAATTGATTCTGAAATCCAAACTCATCAAACTACACAGCAGGGTAAGTGTCTTTCTCCACTTGTCCCCTGCTGGACATATATAAGAAAATTGTATGCCAGGACCCTGCTAGAGAGAGGTCCAGAGCCACTTCGACACACTTGCTAAAGACCCTTGGGGCAAGTGACAGCCCGAACGAGAGGGTTGGATATTCGCATTCCACACCTTGATATGCACCGCAAATCCCGAATAGGTTGCAACACTACCCTTTCTTTTTCGGGAATGAAGAAACATCAGGAGTAGAAACCGAGATTAATTTCCTCTTTTGGAAATACGCGAATAACCCCTTGCCTTAAAAATCAAGGTAATTTCATTGCTGATGATCTCTACACAAACCAGCCAGAGACCACATCATACCATTGATAGTTTTTGGTTGCAAACTGTAGCCTCCAGGGATGAACTGAATATGCACGCCATTCTGCTACCCTGACAGCTAAAGGACCCGTGGGACTGAAGCTCAAACTTGGAGCAACTACGGCCTCGTCCGGCAACAGGCTGCATTATACTTTTGATTCTTCTTTTATTTTATTTTGAACACACGGTGCCCTTGACGTAATGCCTGGCTGCGACATTTGAAAATGTGGCGTGCTTGTGTTCTCATGCCCTCTCCCTTTACAGGTGACCTCACTGGGGGCTGAAGGGAGGCAAATAAACCTTGACACATTGAGGGCACTTCCATGAAACCGTGAGCAGAGTGAACATAATAGGCCACTGCACAGCGCTGAGGGGGGCTGGCATCTCCATCATCCCCATCCTCTCAGAGAGGATAGAGATTCCACAAGTGGTCCTCTTGGTTCTCAAAGCAGATATCTCTGTGAGTGTTGCGTGCCGAACCTTTGTTTAATAACACAGTTCCAAGGTCAACTGCTTCTTCTTTTCGTTCGGAGGACGAGAGGCAAAGACCGATGTGTTCGAGGAAGCAGCTGCAGCAGTGGCAAATTACTTTCTGCCCTACTGCTTCGGGCTGTTTGGACCCGGCTGGGGTACCCCAGGGCTCTCAAAGGCTGGAACCTAAGCCCCCTGTAGCTAGGGCAACCAAGTATACAGATATAGTTTAACACATTTGGGCTGGGGGGGGCTTTCATCCAAAAGGTGGCCCATCTCCTGGAAAAGCTCGGCCTGGTATGCGGACAGAAGAGTGACCACATTGAGGTTCTTACTTTACTTATACACCTTCTGGTATATGGAGGCTGTGAAGCACTCCATTTTTCCTGGTATGGCTGGGCCCGTAGTGGTAATCGTGGAGCGTTGGGTCAGGTGAAGATGATACACTGTAGCTTGCTCCGTGACCGAACGTCTCAGAACAGGTGTTCTAAACAGGAATCCCATGTAGGAAAGGACCACCTCCTCTCCTTAATGCAGATTGGGAGAGCTGGCAGAGGATTTTTCCATTGTAGAAATCCCTATCTCCACTAATGTTATTCTGTGATGCTGGTCAGTTGATGGCAAGCCAAGCTGCTGCCGCTTGCATACAGTACCTTGTGCCGTGGTAAGCCCATAAGCAGGCAAGCTCTGTGGGTCAACTGCGTTCCAATCATGCTAGCACTGCTATGATAATGAGTCTACTAAAGAAGGACAAAAACACCCAAGCGGCAGGTCCACAAAGCTTAAGCTGTACAGGTTCACAAAGAAAATGAGGTTACTCCAGATACATGAAAAACCCACGTTCAGAGACTACCTTAACAGCTGTGTTGACAAACAGTTAAGTGGATCCTCCAGAGTCCAGGAAAGATAATAATCAGTTCAAGTGATATTCACAGCAAAGAAATGATTGGGATGTTATGAAAGGGCACGGGAGCCCCCCTGCCACACATCTGTCTGTCTGACAGTGGTTGGTAATACCAGAAGGCGCTTTCCATAGTAGGATACAGAGCAAAATTTGAAAGAGAACTCAAATGACAACAGAGGCCAATATTATCTGGTGTGGGCTGATTTGGTTTCACTGGGCTAGAAAACATCTTACTGGGTCTGGAGTAAACAGGCTGAAAAACCCTTTAAAACATTTATTTGTTATGTAAAAAGTTCAAATTAATCTTTTATACATATACATATATTTATATCAATTACTGTATTTGTAATGACTCAAAGATATTGTGATGAATAGATGAGATGCTTTACTGTTTGCTGTGCTTTTCTGTTCAGATTTTTCTATAAAGTGAGCACTTCCCTGGCATGAAAATATTATATTTAAGCAAACTATTTAATGGAATTAATTGAATGGATTTAATGGAAAAACTGACATATGTTACTAACTGGACTCTCTCCCTTTCCCATAGTCGTGTGCTTTCTCCTCCCTCTCCACTGTCCTCTCTCCTGCTATCGATTCCTGCAGATGTTCCTGTCTCTGGAGCTGTGGGGTCTGGATCTGTGGTTGGGATTCTCCTCCTTTCACTTCCTGCAGGTGTTCCTAGAGCTGTGGAAGCTGGATCTGTGATTGAGAGTCTCCCGCTGTCCCCATGTTCCTACTCTGCTACAATTACAGCAGCTGGTCATAGTCTTTTTGCTATCATTACTGCTATCATTATCATTAGTATCAATATTATTGCCATTTTTATCCAGTCTATGTGTTACTGTGTAGTAGGGATGGGAATCTTCACCACCAAGGCGATACGGTACACATCTCGATACACAGCCAACGATTCGATACATTCACGATTCATGGAATTTCTAGTGATAAGATTCGATACGATTCTCCAACCTCCTGCGATCCGGTGCGATACAGAACGATCTAAATTTAAAATGCTGCGATACAGTGCGATACGATACGATACAATACGATGCGATGCAATGCAGAAGAAAAGTACACCATGGACTACATAGTTCAAGTTATGGCACGCAAGCTAACTTTGCCTTTTATTTTGAAAGAAAGGAAGTGCAACTTAGAGAGTGATTGTCTCTCTGAAACTTTACAAGAAACGCAACTAAAACTCAAAGACACGTTTCTAAAAAGTTATAATAATAGAAGATAATAATCGGTTTGTATCGATGCAGGTAGTTTTATACGATGCATCTCGAGTTTATGTGCGGTTTTTACCGATGCAGACGTTTGCAAATCGATGCAACCGTATCGCACAGGTCGTTCCGATGTTCCGATACGCATCGGTGAATCTTGCCATGCCTACTGTGTAGGCTTCCTCCCTCTGCTCCATCTGTCCTTCTCTCCCTGTCTGTCTCTCTCTTTCCCTCTCTGTCTCTCACTCCCAACCGGCCAAGGTAGATGGCCACCAACCCTGAGACATGGTTCTGCTCGAGGTTTCTGCCTCTTAAAAGAAAGTTTTTCCTTGCCTGTTTCACCTAGTGCTTGCTCTTGGTGGGAATTGCTGGGCTTCTTTAAATAACTTCAGACTAGGGTCTGACCTGCTCTGTTTGGAAAGCGCTAGATAACTGTTGTGATGTGGCACTATATAAATAAAATTGAATGGAATTGAACATCAGTCAATTCATTAGTTTATTTATTAGTCTATATTTGGTTTAGTCCAGAAATTTACAAAAACTACTTTTTTTTTTGTTTGTTTTAATTCAAACAAAAACCAAATTCTAAACAATCTACTTGGCTGTCAACGAAAACAAAGCTGGCTGTAACGCAGAAACTGCACTGTTTGCTGAGTTTAACATCTAACAATGACAGGAATGACTCAGTTTCTTGGTCTGACCTCAAGGCTTTTAAAGGCTAACTCACCAACACTCTGAATGGTGGCCACAGAAGAAGGGGATCTGCAGCCAGAGTTTCTCAGGTGCACAGTCAGACCCTCCTGATGACACACACTCATCAAAGGTCTGAAAAACAACAGGAGGAATGGTTAGTGATTGAAAAAGCCAATTTGATTTTCAGATGTGAGAGGTACACACAGACCTTTTTGTCCCCTTGTTTTCTTCGCCGAAGGCCTGGTCTGTAGTCATCTCCAAAGCGCAGGAAGTAGTAATAAGACACAAGGCGCTCTATAGGATCCCGCACCACATTTATATACACCGGCTTATCCTTCACACCATATCTGAACAACAAGAAAAGTAATAGACATTTTTGGTGAAAAAATTGTTTCCACAGATCAGATAGAGGACGTTAAAGCTCATCCAGAGATTCATAGTTATTGTACTCCAGATATAGAGCCTTTATCAGTAAAGGGGGTGGCTAGATCAGGGTAAAGCGAGTCAACACAATCTTTTCATAGAGGAACACTTAGACCATTAAAATAATTACCTGAGATCACTGGGTTGATTGTGTCAGGGGAGATAAGGACCACAATGCAATTAATCAACACTACAGCATCCTTAAGCAATCAATATATGACCTCTCTTTATCTGCTCCGCAAACTGCATGTAACTAATCTGGATATTAGTGGTATTACAGGAAATGAAGGGCCTTACTTGGAGAAGTCCAGATAAGCTATGTGGCCGTGGTAGAAGCTGGGCTTCATCTCTCTCCATGTGGTGACATTCCGGACAAAGCGCACCTGCAGACAGAGATAATGAGAATTCATTATAGAACAGCAGGAAAACAGAGCAGCAACAGGCTGCATGCTGATCTGTTTGCAGTTTTAAGCCTTTCTTAGTAATGACCCAGAATTAAGAAGAAGGTTGAGAATTAAACATATACTCTTTAAGCCATAGCATATACAAATGTGAATGTATCAAAGGTAGCTGTTATCTGATCGCCTTAATCCCCTCATCTGTTTGATCGTGTTCAGAATGTGTGAGACAACAGTGGGGCTATTGTGAGATGGAAGACAGGATATTACCATGGCACTGACAGCTAGACATAACAACAGAACAGCTTTGGGCCATTTACACTGTGTGACCTGAGCTGCACCGACAGCAGTGTGTGCTCTGCCTAATAGGCAGCAAATCTTTTCAGGTTTTATTTTGTTCAGAGTGGAAACAAAACACTCACGGGGGATGAAAGCATATTAAAAGAAAACAGATACAGGAGTAAGTGAGTTTTGGGGGGGTTATATAGTTCATGGATTCATGTGCTGGTATTGGGCCAAGAAATTAAACAAAGCATCAACAACAGGCAGAAATAATAATGTCTCGCAGGAAAGCATGAGGTAAACATGGCAGAAACACCGTTTTTTTAAACCATTTCATAACCAAATATCAGCACAAGAGGGACTTCAGGGTGTTGTTTACATCTTTTTTCTTCATGTCTGAAGTTCCTCAGATCTAAATGGGAAGAATGTTTTTAGGGGTTGGTTTACATCCCATCAAGTTTTATTTTTTTAAATCAATCCTTCAAAAGATAACTGCACATATAGAGCGTTGTGTGTGTAAGATTTTCTAAGCTTCAATGATAAATTTGCATCTGCTGTTGTGGAAGTGATCGAAACCCATCCCTGGGTAAAACTGTTGCTTTATAGCCTTGGTTGTACCATTGCAAATAAATCGGAGTGATCAGTGGGGTGTTTCTCCCTGGAGATCAATAAAGTATATTCAATTCAATTCAATTCAATTCAATTCAATCGGAACAACTTCTTGGTAAATTCTCCATGGCCGCTCCTCTCACTAAAGAAAGAGCCTTTGAAAAATCCCTGCAGCACACTTCACTCTGTGACACACCCTTGTATGTGGGGTTTTGGACCTGCCAATTCGTAGTAAACAAAGCATACCTTAAAACTGCTAATGCCAAACACCTGCCATTTGACATTCTGGATCTCACTGAGAACTGGATTAACCCTGAAAACAATACAACTGGCTGCACTTTTGAACAAACCCACATTCTCCGTTACGTCTGTTACATCTGTGCGAGGTGGTGCTATGGGCCTGTTCATTTCCAACAAATGGAAAGACAAACAACTGATACCTAATGCCAAATACAACTTAGAATACCATGCAATCTTGTTGACTGCACCAGTCAAAAGCTTGACTTTGTTGATGAACTTTACATATTGCTGTCTGAACATGAACAAGACTATCCTATAATAGCCCTTGGTGATTTTAAGATCCACCTTGACAGTCCTAACTCTTCAGATTTTCTATCATTAATGCAATCATTTGAGTTAAAACTGGTCTGCAATCTCCCAACTCACAGAGCCAGCAAAGCGCTAGATCTAATTTTTGCAAGAAACTGTGCCACAGAGACCCTCTCTGTTACACCTCTGCTCTTTTATGAACACTAATATATTCAATTCAAAGTGAGTCTTCTGAGAAGACCGTCGCTTCCATCTTAAAAGGTTTGCTTTCGCCGTAACTTCCACAACCTGACACTGACTCACTTTTCCCCAATTGTTGCCTCAGCTTTTCCAACTTCAAACACTTTTTGCATCTCTTTAGGTTAATGAAGCCACAGAGTCCCTCTGCTCCGCTCTGAGCTCTTGTTTGGATATTCCAATCCACTATTCAAAAACCTACTCAATCCTCTAAGTCTTACCCATGGCTTAATGATATACTCAGATTGCTAAGCATCAACCTCAGAGATGCAGAAACAAAATGGCACAAATTACAAGAGCTGCAGCCCGAACAAACTTCCAGCATTCTCATTTAGTGTTACTGATGCAAAAAAGCTATCTACATTGAATAGATTTAAAGTTGTATTGACACCCAGAAACTATTTTCAATCTTCAAAACTCTACTTAACCCTCTGCCTGATGCTACCAATCTGACGGCAAACACCTTTACCTTTTTTTTTACTGACAAAATAGTATAAGCAACTGCCTACATCCAAACATAAAACGTATGTATGCCTCTAAGTCAGCACACAGAAGTCCTAATGCATCATTTTCATAATTGAGCATTGTCTATACCTATCACATGTTGCTGGCCTACTACATACCGTCTTTGCCCTGTTCCTACTAATTTATTCTAGGCCATGACTCATACAGTAACTGCAGCAATTACACCAGTGAATAATGCTTCACTGACATCAGTCAATTTTCATACCTCATTCAAGCAAGCTTGGGTTACACTGCTGCTCAGGAAACCTTCTCTGCCACCGAAATGGTTGGAAAACTATTTACCAGTTTCTCTTTTTCCCTTTCTATCTAAGACCATTGGAGGGGCAGCCTTTAAGCAGGTCACAGAATACCACTGATCCAAACCAATCTGGGTTTCAAAGTGGAAACTCCACTGAAACTCTGCTAACACCCAAAACCTTCCCAAAGCATTTGTGCTTTGAAAGAGCAGATTGTACCAAACCCAACAGGTGTCTATGTTCTATGGTCATCTCCTGCCTTGACTACAGCAACACTTTTTTTTTCTTTTTTAAAGATTTTTTTGGCTATAGTGGCCTTTAATGACAGTAGCTTGACAGGAAAGGGGGAAGAGATAGAGAGGGGGAGACCTGCGGGAAAGGGCCATGGGCTGGAATCGAACCCAGGCCGCCCGCTTGCGAGCAGAGGCTCCGCATATGGGCCGCCCGCTCTAGCCATTAGGCTACGCTGCGGCCCACAGCAACACTCTTCTAATTGGACTCGCGGGCTGAGCTGTGAAATCTCTCCAGATGGTTGAAAACGTAGCGGCACGTCTGGTTTTCAATCAGCCAAAAAAAAAATCTTGCGTCACCCTTATTGTTAAACTCCATCGGCTACCCTTAGCTGCCCACAACAAATACAAAGTCACTGATGTTAGCCAACAAAGTGCTTAGGAGTGTGGCTCCCATCTACTTGAATACTCTTCATAAAGGCTTATGTCACAACTCGGTCACTTCGGTCATGAAAGGATTGTTGTCTATAATTGCCAGTACCAGGTGACATTGCAGACTTTGGAACTACCAAATGCTACAAGAAAAGGGGCATTCCTGTCTACCTTCAAATCTTGAAGCCCCCGCTCTTCAGAGAACATCTCTGAAGAGCTCTCTCTACCCTAACACTTACCCTGTCCGTCCCACCCCCTCTACTACACTTTTTGTTTCTGTACTTCCCACCATCTGTACACTGTCACCACTGTATTCTGACTAGGGATTTCCCTCTATGTAGTTTTGATGTAAACAAATATTCTAAATACATCTCACAGCCCAAATGAGTAATACAGTCTCTTTTTCAATTACATTATTTGTGTTGCAGATTTTGTATTTGTCCTGACACCTCTGGGCCACCGTACAAGACCCAGGAACCGGTGGAGTTTTTTTTTCGTTGCTGGAACTGGATATTGGGTAATTGCAGTCACTTTGGCCTGCATCAGCTGAACGATCCTCACCCGGGTATGTACCAGTAGCCTTGGCAAACTCACACTTGACCAGGTTAATGGTTAAGCGTGCAACAGCTAAACAGTCAAACAGGTTTTTAATATGGATGAGGAGCTCTGTCGACATATTACTTTCGATCACAACATCATCGAGGTAGACAGCACAACCCCCCAAACCAGACACAACCATGTTCAAAAGATGTCGAAGTGTTGCTGATGCATTCTGCAACTCGAAATTCATAACTGTATAAGAGAAAATACTAAAGGGAGTAATAAAATAGATCCCTGGCTTTGTCAGACAGTTTAACTTGCCAATAACCCTTAAATAAATCAAACTTACTCACAGACTGAGCTGAACCAACCTGATCAATGCAATCTATCATTCGCGGAAAGGAATAAGCAGCTGGTTTTGTGACACTGTTTACGATAGTCTGCATAAAATTTAGTAGTCTTGGCAGACTTATCCACTAGCAAACGAGGTCATGCCCAGCTAGACGCACAAAGCCTTCTTAGCGATCACCTTACAATTCTCTTCCGACACCCAGTAAAAAAGCTGGCTAGTTGAGCAGGGTTCGAAATGACTGATCGACTGTGTGATTTTCTCATGCCTCATCCAGGCATGAGAAAATCCAAATTTGTTAGCACGTCGTGCAGTCAACTCTGTGGGGTAGGATGGGTTGGCAAATTAAGTTTTTATATCAAATACATGCTAAATAAACAGGAAATCAACACAAAAAATACTTTTTTGTTTGAAATTCATCATCACGCCATTTTATATTGCAGTTTATCATCCTTTTTATTAAATCATTCGAGGCATGACATGGTTGCGCCCTGCTGGCTAATACCGAACTGTAAAAGGGCCAACAAACTTTGTCTGGAAAGGGAAACTGACAAAGGGCAACAACACTAGCACCTAATCACAGAGGCTAAAGTGCAACTGCTCAGCTTTACAGTCATAAAGACACTTAATCCTCTCTTGAGAAGAAATAAACATCTCCTTCAATTCCTCTTTCAACTTCTCCCCCCCCAGCATACACTGATGCTGGAATCCATTAACGTAATTAATCAAACTATTAAGTTTTGACTGATCCACAGCTTGGGTGGCTTACACTAACTAAAAACAAATTAAGTTGGAATTAATCCATGCTCTCCTGTACTACTTTACAAGGAGCCAAGAGAAGCCACAGCATCCCATTCTTCCAATCTTGATGTAGTTCAACACAGTAACCAGGCAACAGAGATTTCAGGGTCTGATGAAATCTTGTCAGAGCCCCTTGGCATGGTACGCAGAAAAGCCTGGTTATTATGCTTTAAATGCAGCTGTATCAAAACCTGAGAAAAGAGATTAGAGGAAAGGTTTGAGATCTGATCACTCTAAATTATTTTCAAAATACCAAAAATAGCAATAAACTGCATCAGAGCCTTTACCACAGACCTAGCAGTAATATTAAGAAGCGGTTACACAGCGGGATACATTGTGCTCTAACACATTACTCTCAGCAAATAGTTACAACTAGCCTTGGACTGTGGTAGGGCACCAACACAGATGTTCAAACGGCTATACACTTGCTGGAATAAGGGACCGGTTTAATAGTCTGGTTGGTCTTACCTGTCATCTGAACTGTATGATATGTTCTAATGTATCCAGACACATCCCTCTTTAAACAGGGCCAGAAAAATAAAGCAGAATGTAGTTATAAATCTTCCGAACTCCCAGATGCCCAGAGTGATCAGGATAAGCTTGGAAGGCTTGGAAGGAACATCAATCTGCCAAACCGGATCACCAACAAAGTTTTCTCAATGTAACAACCACTACCATATCAACAAGCCATCCATCAGCACATACCCACTTTCAACACTCTCTGCCCCCTCACATCAACATGCATTCTCCAGTATTAGTTTTCTTAGAGAAAGAAGCCCCAGTATCCCTACAGTGAGACATAGCCATCTGAGAAAAAATCTAACTGATTCAAACCGCACTTACCTCCAGCTTCCACCATCTGAGAAAAAGAACTTTCATATTTCCGTCTTAATAAGGGCTGAATTACTCAGTAGTATAGATAATGAAATCCGGTATTTTATGGTTTGAGCTGAGACTTTGTTCTGGTTGACAGTAAAGGACCTACCTGGTCCTGTAGAGACATGACGGGGTTATTTTTGGTTGTGTTGATGTGTAGCACGTGGAAGTTGTTCCTTCCACACAGGTCGTAGGCAATGTTTGTGAAGGACGTGCTGGCCGTCTTGGGCACTCTGTTGTAAATGATAACCATGTCATTGTTTTCGGCCATTGGCAGTGATTCTCGCAGCCCATCATCCTTGCTGTGACGCAGTTCTACTTCCGCCACCTCGTGTCTGGCGATGGTGCGTTCTGAACAAGACACAAACTGTCGTCACTGAGCAGAAGTTGTTAAAAATTTCAAATGAACTATGATTAAGTAAGTGTGTGGTCCCCTAAAGGACCTCGTGGTTGTATTAAATTATATTCTGCTTTTATAACAGGAATTAAAAATGCTATCATTAAAGATAAAATGCAACCAGTTTTTATGACATTTTTAAACTAAACTAGTCTCTTGTTATGGAGGACTGAAACAAAATAAAAAAATTAAATCAGAATTATAACATTGGCTCAATAAATAAATAAATATTCTAAAAATCTACTGAAATGTAATTTAATTGTATATTTCTAATTCATTTTCAAGCTATAAGTATGCACTTGTGTGCTCATTTATTTACCACATACATGCATAATATATCACTGCACCTACACTACCGTTCAAAAGTTTGGGGTCGCCCAAGAAAATTTGTGTTTTCCATGAAAAGTCACACTTATTCACCACCATGCGTTGTGAAATGAATAGAAAATAGAGTCAAGACGTTGACAAGGTTAGAAATAATGATTTGTATTTGAAATAAGATTTTTTTTACATCAAACTTTGCCTATGTTGTCTGGGGCTTCAAGCCCCTGGTAGGGTCACCCAAGGCAAACAGGTCCTAGGTGAGGGATCAGACGAAGCGCAGCCCAGAAGACCCTTATGAGGATAAATAATATTGGACTTCGTGTACCCTCGCCCGGGCGCGGGCTACCGGGGCCCCCCCCTGGAGCCAGGCCCAGGGGCGGGGCACCATGGCGAGCGCCTGGTGGCCGGGCTTTCACCCATGGGGCCCGGCCGGGCCCAGCCCGAAGAGGTTACATGGGTCCCCCTTCGCACGGGCCCACCACCCGTGGGAGGGGCCATAGGGGTCGGGTGCAGTGTGCCCTGGGCGGCGGCCGGAGTCGGGGATCTTGGCGGACTGATCCCCGGCTGCAGAAGCTGGCTCTAGGGACGTGGAACGTCACCTCTCTGGCGGGGAAGGAGCCTGAGTTAGTGTGCGAGGCGGAGAGATTCCGGCTGGACATCGTCGGTCTCGCCTCGACACACAGCTCTGGCTCTGGAACCAGCCTTCTCGAGAGGGGTTGGATGCTCTTCTACTCTGGCGTTGCCCAGGGTGAGAGGCGCCGAGCAGGAGTGGGCATACTCATTGCCCCCCATCTCGGTGCCTGTACGTTGGGGTTTACCCCAGTGAGCGAGAGGGTAGCATCCCTTCGCCTGCGGGTGGGGGGACGGGTCCTGACTGTCGTTTGTGCCTATGCGCCTAGCGGCAGCACAGAGTACCCACCCTTTTTGGAGTCCTTAGAGGGGGTACTGGAGGGTGCCCCCTCTGGGGACTCCCTCGTTTTGCTGGGGGACTTCAACGCTCACGTGGGCAACGACAGTGAGACCTGGAGGGGCGTGGTCGGGAGGAATGGCCCCCCCAGCTTGAACCCGAGCGGTGTTCTGTTTTTGGACTTCTGTGCTCGGCACGGATTGTCCATAACGAACACCATGTTCAAACATAAGAGTGTCCATATGTGCACCTGGCACCAGGACACTCTAGGCCGCAGTTCAATGATCGACTTCGTTGTCATTTCAGCTGATCTGCGGCCGCATGTTTTGGACACTCGGGTCAAGAGGGGGGCGGAGCTTTCCACCGACCACTACCTGGTGGTGAGTTGGCTCCGATGGTGGGGGAGGATGCCGGTGAGACCCGGGAGGCCCAAACGTGTTGTGAGGGTCTGCTGGGAGCGCCTGGCGGAGTCCCCTGTTAGGCGGAGCTTTAACTCCCACCTCCGGGAGAGCTTCGAACACGTTCCGGGGGAGGCGGGGGACATTGAGTCTGAGTGGGCCGTGTTCCGTGCCTCCATCAATGACGCGGCCTCCCGGAGCTGCGGTCGCAGGGCTGTTGGTGCCTGTCGTGGCGGCAACCCTCGAACCCGCTGGTGGACACCGGCGGTGAGGGATGCCGTCAGGCTGAAGAAGGAGTCCTATCGGGCCTTTTTGGCCTGTGGGACTCCGGAGGCAGCCGATGGGTACCGGCAGTCCAAGCGACGTGCGGCTCGGGTGGTCGCCGAGGCAAAAACTCGGGCGTGGGAGGAGTTTGGGGAGGCCATGGAAAAAGACTTCCGTACGGCCTCGAGGCGATTCTGGTCCACCATCCGGCGTCTCAGGGGGGGGAAGCAGTGCCCCACCAACACTGTTTACAGTGGGGATGGTGTGCTGTTGACCTCAACACGTGACGTTGTGGGTCGGTGGGCGGAGTACTTCGAGGACCTCCTCAATCCCACTGGCGCGTCCTCCGTTGGAGGGGCAGAGCCTGGGGATCCGGAGTTTGGATCTCTAATCTCCGGGGCTGAAGTCACCGAGGTAGTCAAAAAGCTCCGCGGTGGCAAGGCCCCGGGGGTGGATGAGATTCGGCCGGAGTTCCTCAAGGCTTTGGATGTTGTGGGGCTGCGTTGGCTAACGAGACTCTGCAACATCGCGTGGACATCAGGGGCAGTCCCGCTGGATTGGCAGACTGGGGTGGTGGTCCCCCTATTTAAAAAGGGGGACCGAAGGGTGTGTTCCAACTATAGGGGGATCACACTCTTAAGCCTCCCTGGGAAGGTCTATTCAGCGGTTCTGGAGAGGAGGGTCCGTCGGATAGTCGAGCCTCGAATCGATGAGGAGCAGGGTGGTTTTCGTCCTGGCCGTGGAACGCTGGACCAGCTCTATACCCTCAGCGGGGTCCTAGAGGGTGCATGGGAGTTCGCTCAACCAGTCCACATGTGTTTTGTGGACTTGGAGAAGGCGTTCGACCGTGTCCCTCGGGGTATCCTGTGGGGGGTGCTCCGGGAGTATGGGGTACCTGGCCCTTTGTTACGGGCTGTTCGGTCCCTGTACGACCGGAGTCAGAGTCTGGTTCCCATTGCCGGTAGTAAGTCGGACTCGTTTCCGGTGGGAGTTGGACTCCGCCAAGGTTGCCCTATGTCTCCGGTCCTGTTCATAACTTTTATGGACAGGATTTCTAGGCGCAGCCGAGGTGTTGAGGGTGTCAGTCTTGGTGGCCTAAGGATCGCATCTCTGCTTTTTGCAGATGATGTGGTCCTGTTGGCTCCATCAAGTCGGGACCTACAGCTCTCGCTGGAGCGGTTCGCAGCCGAGTGCGAAGCGGCTGGGATGAGGATCAGTGCCTCCAAGTCCGAGACCATGGTCTCTCACCGGAAAAGGGTAGAGTGCCTTCTCCGGGTCGGAGCGGACGTCCTTCCCCAAGTGGAGGAGTTCAAGTATCTCGGGGTCTTGTTCGCGAACGGGGGTAGGGAGCGTGAGATCGATAGGCGGATTGGTGCGGCGTCTGCAGTAATGCGGGCGCTGTACCGGTCTGTCGTGATGAAGAGAGAGCTGAGCCTAAAGGCGAAGCTCTCAATTTATCGGTCGATCTACGTTCCCACCCTCGTCTATGGTCACGAGCTTTGGGTAGTGACCGAAAGAACGAGATCGCGGATACAAGCGGCCGAAATGAGTTTCCTCCGCAGGGTGGCTGGGCTCTCCCTTAGAGATAGGGTGAGAAGCTCGGCCATCCAGGAGGGGCTCGAAGTAGAGCCGCTGCTCCTCCACGTGGAGAGGAGCCAGTTGAGGTGGCTCGGGCATCTGATCAGGATGCCTCCTGGTCGCCTCCCTGGGGAGGTGTTCCGGGCTCGTCCCACCGGGAGAAGGCCCAGAGGAAGACCCAGGACCCGCTGGAGGGACTATGTGTCCCGGCTGGCCTGGGAACGCCTCGGGATCCCCCCGGAGGAGCTGGCTGAAGTGGCCGGGGAAAGGGAAGTCTGGATTTCCCTGCTCCGGCTGCTGCCCCCGCGACCCGACCCCGGATAAGCGTAGGACAATGGATGGATGGATGGACTTTGCCTTTGTCAAAGAATCTTCCATTTGCAGCAATTACAGCATTGCAGACCTTTGGCATTCTAGCGGTTAATTTGTTGAGGTAATCTGGAAAAATTGCACCCCACGCTTCCAGAAGAAGCTCCCACAGGTTGGATTGGTTGGACGGACACTTCTTGCGTACCAAACGGTCAAGCTGCTCCCACAACAGCTCAATGGGGTTCAGATCTGGTGACTGCGCTGCCACTCCATTACCGATAGAATACCAGCTGCCTGGTTCTGCTCTAAATAGTTTAATAATAATAATAATAATTTGGAGGTGTGTTTAGGGTCATTGTCCTGTTGTAGGATGAAATTGGCTCCAGTCAAGCACTGTCCACTGGGTATGGCAAGGCGTTGCAAAATGGAGTGATAGCCTTCCTTATTCAAAATCCCTTTCACCCTGTACAAATCTCCCACCTTACCAGCACCAAAGCAACCCCAGACCATCACATTACCTCCACCATGCTTAACAGATGGCGTCAGGCATTCTTCCAGCATCTTTTCATTTGTTCTGTGTCTGACAAACGTTCTTCTTTGTGATCCAAACACTTCAAACTTGGATTCATCTGTCCACAACACTTTTTTCCAGTTTTCCTCTGTCCAATGTCTGTGTTCTTTTGCCCGTCTTAATCTTTTTCTTTATTGGCCAGTCTAAGATATGGCTTTTTCGTTGCCACTCTGTTCTGAAGCCCGGAATCCCGCAGCCGCCTCTTCACTGTAGATGTTGACACTGGTGTTTTGCTGGTACTATTTAATGAAGATGCCAGTTGGGGACCTGTGAGGCGTCTGTTTCTCAAACTAGAGACTCTAATGTACTGATCTTCTTGCTCAGTTGTGCAACACGGCCTCCCACTTATTTTTCTACTCTGGTTAGAGCCTGTTTGTGCTGTCCTCTGAAGGGAGTAGTACACACGGTTGTAGGAAATCTTCAATTTATTAGAAATTTTTTGCATGGAATAGCCTTAATTTCTAAGAACAATAATAAACTGCCGAGTTTCAGATGAAAGTTCTCTTTTTCTGGCCATTTTGAGCGTTTATTTGACCCCACAAATGTGATGCTCCAGAAACTCAATCTGCTCAAAGGAAGGTCAGTTTTGTAGCTTCTGTAAAGAGCTAAACTATTTTGAGATGTGTGAACATGATTGGAGAAGGGTTTTCTAATCATCAATTAGCCTTCTGAGCCAATGAGCAAACACATTGTACCATTAGAACACTGGAGTGATAGTTGCTGGAAATGGGCCTCTATACACCTATGTAGATATTGCACCAAAAACCAGACATTTGCAGCTAGAATAGTCATTTACCACATTAGCAATGTATAGAGTGTATTTCTTTAAAGTTTAGACTAGTTTAAAGTAATCTTCATTGAAAAGTACAGTGCTTTTCCTTAAAAAATAAGGAAATTTCAATGTGACCCCAAACTTTTGAACGGTAGTGTATCTTTTGATTGACCAATGGATGAGAAGCAGACTCCATGAGATAACTTCAAAGACAACCAATCTTATTTGCATAATAAGGCTCTAGTGCAAAGTGAATGTAGCTCCTTTAAATCTGAATGTGGATTATCATTTCTGTGTGGGTTTGCATCCTCAGTTGTTCACAGACCAAATCATCCAACTCTTGATCTAACTTTGTTTTGGAGCAATGAAAAATAAAACATGTTTACGGTGGGAAAAACATTTTTGTTACAGAATGTTTACTCTCGCTCTTGACAGTTTTAATTTGGTGCTTTATAAATCAAACTGAGCTTAATTAAATAAAAATGCAGAAAATAAAAGCTTAAACCTGAAATGACTGAGAAAAACAAGAGGTTAATAGAATGCCAATATCCACAGATCATAACAATACAGCACTGCAACCCCCCTAACCCAAAACAGTGTATCTGATTTCATATGCATTAAATTAGTTGTATTGAGGTGTAAAACAATTCCTTTGGTCATTTTGGTAGAAAAGGAAATGGGTCATAGAAAGGATACCTTAAAAAAAATTTGTATTCCCTGAATATACCAGAAATCTAAATCTGTGATTAGCACCTCTAATGATTGGGCAAAAATTGACATCTTAAGTCAGCTAAACACCAGCAGCAGAGGAGACACCTGTATGGAAAGGACTTTATGTGCCATATTTGTGTTTGCTACCCAACTAAACTGCTAGGAGGAGTGAGGAGCACCAGCATGAGTCTTTCCTCCAGCATTACCACACCATACGCTGTTAGCTAAAAGCTTGTTAGCAGACCTTAATTAAAGATAATAACAGTCCCTCAAACAAGTGCTGCATCCAAAGATCCAATTATCCTTTTTATCATATTGACATGACGAATAATCAAGTCTTTGATCCCTCTTTTCTACTTTGCTGAGTTAATCTAAACCAAGACAAGTGTGGCTGGGAATTGTTGACTTGATATACAGGTAGCTGTCTGTTCATATCTATGCCTACACTATGGCATATATTCAAAAAAGCAAAAGCAATGGTCAAACAGGATTACGTGTTCACACAGACACTCTTGCAGCCGATGGTCTTGTCCTTATAGAGCCCCAATCTGAACACGATTATATACCTTTCATCAAGCATCTCCAAACATTTAGCAAAAGTACATAACACCTAATGAAGATTTGTCTACCCACTGAAAGACAGACAAATTGCTATAACAACATACTATTCACCACTAATTAATCTTAGACCTATGCAAGTCTGTTTAATTTGTTGTAATTTCACTTTGGCTGAACTGTTGGAGCGTCACAGATTCTTTGCTGTCAAACTTCAACATATAATTTATTAGCGGAATTTTTACCTCCTAATGTGCACTATCACACTTACTATCTGTTTATAAAGGCAAACCTAACTTTAATCAAACCTGTGTGTATTTGAATGTTTAGTTCTGCAGCATGATTAGCTTCCTCAGAAATTCTTTGTTTTCAGATCTCAGATGATCCTTTTTCCTGCTTTTAAAGACTAGAAGGTACCAACCTTCTAGGAACATGGAGCATCTGCAGTTGGGGGATATTTATTCAGCTATCTCACTAGGTTAAACAAAGCCAGAAAAAAAGAGCTGGCAATGGAAAGGATTGTAAAAATATTTAAGTAATTTATTTTAGATGACTGGAGGAAAACTATACAAAATAAATGACAAAATCAACATTTACTTTAACATGATAATGCAGAATTAATGTCAGAATAAAAACTGAGACACAATTCAATGCAATGGCCACCATACAGTCCAGATATAATTCAAATTCAAGCTGTTACCCTCATGAGGTGTTAAAGTGTTCATGATTTCCATTATTTTCTTTTGGTTTGTCTGAAAAAAATGTAACAAATTACAACAATCATATTAAAATCCAAAAATGTTTAACATCAGAGTTAGTAAATACACTTGTTTTATTTTGTTTATAACCATAGTGACGAAGCAAACGTCCTCCAAATATGGTTATCCCATCGTTTGTGGGTTACCAGATTTGTAAAACCTTTTTTTCAGAATATTATCTATGGCTCCTCTGATCAAAGTTTCAACTCCAATTTTCAATGTAACTCTACAACTCTGAATATGAAGGCTGTTCTCACAAAGATAATCTACTTAGTGGTCTTACCGAGTTTGGCTGTTGATTCGTCCAGTCTCTGAATCTGATTTTCTACTAGGAGCATCGCAACTCCAAATGCCAAAACGGCCAAAAGCTGGATTTTGGGCGACATCATGATCCTTAAAAGCCCCATGAAACAACCGGTGGAATCATACCGAAGCTGTAAGCGGCTTATCAGTTTTATTTGATTAAGAGCACATCAAAGTAAATTCCAGTAACATTAGCCATGATGTGCCATTCACTTTTTGGGGAGTGAAGAGTCGTCAGAAGGATAGCTCTTCGTTAGCACAACAAACTCACGGAGTTAGCTTCTGTGCTAACAATAACTGTCATTAGGCAGCTTGCCCCTAAAGCTCATGCAAATGTCATCTTTAAAAACCAAAATTGTGTTTCTTGACGTTTGTTTTGGGCTTAATTTGCCGTAAGCACAGTACAGACAACATTCGTTAAAAATAAAGGTTCGAAACTAAATCACACGACAATGTCCAAGTTAAAAGCAAACTATAGCGTTAGACTGCTTGCTGTAGCTACCATGGCTACTGCTGACGTGCTTCTTCTTTACTAGCTTAATGTATAATAGAACGATATAAAAAGCCTACAACGCCACCTGCTGGACCAAGTATGTATAGGTATAACCCTGGCCAACAAATAAATCGAAAAAAAGATTCTTCAATTTGTTGTATAATCTGATTTTTTGTCATAGTTTTATTTCTGTTCAATTCAGTGAGTTTACTTGTATTGTTCAGCTGCATATGCTGTTTTGAGGACTGAAACACAATTAACCAAAAACATAATGATATAATATAATAAAAATAATATAATTGGGCCAATAAAGAAACCATCACCTTTTTACATTTCTTTGTCTCCTTTTTTCACTTTTCCTCATGCATTTCTGTTTCATTATGCAAAAAATGTTGGCTGTCATTAAATGTCGAGTGGGATCAGCTTCTCTACTATTGTTCAGCCGTAATAAAGGCGCAACATTCGTGTAAAGACTCTGTACATCCTCCAGCTCGTTCCATTAAGTTTTACAAGCTAAATGGTTGAGATATCTACAGGCAAAAATAAATAAATAAATAAATAAATAAAACATGGAAGATCCCGCCTCTGACCCATTGTAAGTGTAACCAGTTATCTTCTCCGTGTTGGTTGTTACGTTTAGCCGTGATACACATATCCTTAAAGATTCGCTCCCTTGTTTATTTCTTGTGTGGTGAATTATGGGATGATTGTCTTCAAGTAACTCAAGTGAAGGTGCTGCAGGAAAACCTCTGCTGAGGCAGACTTGGTCGAACAAAGAGGATTTTATTGTCAGCCAGGTCCGAGTCAGAAATACGGAGTGATGCATCAAGTCTGGAGAGGTCTCATCGCCCGATGTCAGAGAAAACTCTGCCTAATTCTGGGTGTGCCTGCCCTTATATCTGGTCATCCCGTGTCTGTGCTTTTTGTCTTACACCAGGCTGTTTCTATCAAGGCGTGTAGCCAGACTATATTTGATGCATATCTTGAATGTTCGCTTTTTGTCTTCCGCCAGGTTGTTTCTCTCCAGGAGTGTAGGTAGAATGTATTTCATCGCTATCTTGAACATCCTCCCTACACTCTACTTTAGGAATGTGTTTTCCCAGGTGCTCTATGACCAGAAGAGTCTGTGCTTAATTGGGAGCTTCAGACACTACACTTTTTATTCTAACAAATAGAACAGATAAACAACTGCGTTATGGGCTGCCCGCTCCAAATCCTCTTCCATTGGACAAGGTTACAAAGGGGCACAACCAGGTCTTTTAAACTTTTTAAACTTTAACTTTTGAATAAAATGAACACTTTATACCCAACATACCTGACAAACATAGTGAACAGATAAACAACAGCGTTATGGGCTGCCCGCTCCGAGACCTACACAAAGCAAAATATGTAACAAAACTAAAGTTAATCTCCATTACTCAACTGTCATGCTTAATAATTAATGAGCAATGATCTACACCCATACCTCCCATTGGACAAGGTTACAAAAGGGAGACCCTAACCAGCCATCATATCGAGCAAACTATTTAACAAGAAGATATAAAGAGGGGCTCCCGACACACTCACTTAAAAATCACAGTTGTTTTCAAGGAAATTGCAGTCAGGTATAACAATGAGAGTAACAGAATATATTTTGTGTAATCATAACACACATAGTATGTAACACATAACATATAGGACACATACAAATTCAACCCGGTTACTTGAGCAGGGATAGCCTCCAGCCCCCCCCCAACCCCGTTAGGAATAAGTGGTATAGAATATGGGTGGATGGATTAAATTAGAAAGGACATGCAGCGACTGGTAACCTGCCAGTAGCTACAGCAAGCTTATAAACTAAGTTTATATTACTGACTTAAAATTGTGGGAAAACCGTAAGGCCAAGGTCAAAAGCGGGCACATCGGCCGAAACGTTAAAGACTTTAAAGGTTGTTAGCCCGATCAAGGGTACAAATATGTCATTTATTGGTCAACGCTGATTCATTTTGCTTGTGACTCACAAGCAAAATAAATCAGCGTTAGGCCCTCACAGATCAAATTCCCGGAGGATCTCAGTTAGCACGAGCCTCGATCTCCGAGTGCGACGGACATTTATCTTTCAGGAGGAAGGCTGGACGCAATCAAGTGTTATTTGCCAGCTACTTCTGACACGAACAGGCCAGCCCCTAATTCATGCAGATTTCGGTGGAATGTGATAAGAAAGTGCGTCAGTGTTGACCTTGAAGATGTTTATTTACTGTATAGAGAAAGAGGATGTGTAGGCACAGCCAGAGCGTTCAACACAAGAGTATAAGTCTAAAAGGGATAACATAATTGTACTCCAAAACTCCCAAATCCTTGTACAATTTAAAAGGTCTTTTTTTCTGACGGACCCCGGTGTCCCTCTGTCCAAAGCAAATAACATGTGCAGGTTTGAAGGACTATATTACCAGGAAGCCATTGCTCAATCTAAAATGTCTCCTTTTTCAGCTCAGCTGGGGTCTCCCCCTGTCCTAACCAAACAAGCCCATTTTATAAGAGCCCAAATGTCAGTCCTGTGACCTTTGGAGAGGCTGTCAGGCCGCTTTTGAGGGCCCCAGCCCAAAAGGTCAGGTTCCTGGAATGGGCGGCAGGTGGTCCCCCTTCAAAATGTATTTTGACATTTTCTAGTTAGAAATTAAGTAACTCAGGACTTCTATCAAACAGAAGAGGTTGGTGGTTTGACGCTTGGCTAACTGGAGCACAGGTAATTAAAAAATCTATGTTATATAAAAGTGCTTTGAGTTGTCATTTAGACTAATTGCTAGAAAAATTTAAAACATTTACCATTTGCCCTACATGTGTCCGTATACAGCACATTAGACTATTGTAGAATAATGATTTGGGTACTCTTGTGGGAAATGCATACTGCTCAGTGCAAAATTAAAAATCATTAACATTTCAATTGATGCATTGAATTGTAATTATTGCTGGAATGAGTTTAGTTTTTTTACCCTATCCCAGATGTTAACTGGTGAGTACACCCTTTACAGGTCGCCAGTTACTGCTCAACCAATCATTCAAATTTAAAGAAATTAAGTTTTCTGAGAACATGGTGTGGTTTTTCATCTCATAACTGATCCATCCTTCTAAAGATTAAGAAATGTATTAAGGACGTTAGTAAATACAGTTGCATTGAGATGTACAGCCCTGATGCACAGCTAAACCAGTAGGTGGTGGCAAAGTTCCAAGAATAAAACTATACGGCTTGTCTGAAAAACAACGCTCATCGCTTTTATGTAAATTAATGGGAAAAAGTCAGTAGAAATTGTAAAAAAGACGATGAAAAAAGTTGGATCTTCCTGGTTCTGATGAGGACTGAATATTTGCATTTTTTAGGAAAATAAAAAAACATGCAAAAAAAAAGGGGGGGGGGTACAGGTAGAACAGATTTGATTGCGTTTGTGCAAACAAATATCTCTAAGGCTTCATGGTAAGTCTTCAACTGATTAGTCTTTTTCTCCCAGGTTTTTAGAGCATCAGGTTAGAATATTAAACCTTAATTCAGTCAAATAATCATCACTATGACATCTTATATCTGTTAAGAAATGCTGAGATTCAGTAAGAATGAGTGGTTGTGGTTAATTTAAATGGTTCATTTTTCAATGATTCAATCACTTCCAGATTAAGATAATATTGTCACTGTAAAATCAACCAATCTACTATTTCAGCTTTGGAGTGTTGGCCTACGAAGGGTATTTTGATAAGCAATCAATCTGACATACACTGTAAAGATCAGAAATCATTCAAGATTCTAATGAAGCAACAGTAGTATTAATAAATAGCATTTCCTTGATACCTGTTGATCTAAATTAACCAATAAATATTTTGTAGTCTGTTTTTACATGCATTTATTAGCATTTAGGATTTAATTAACTAATCTTTTCATGTCATTATATATCTATTGTAAATGATCACAGCTAGCAATTTTATAAAGCAAAGATACAATGTTGTTAAAATTCAAAACTCTTTCTTTCTTTCTTACTTTCTCTTTTTATTTTTAACAATAAAAAAACAAACTATACAATTTAAACTATTGAATTCTATACAAATGAAATATACATAATTTTTTTTTTTTTTAAGGTAATGTCATTTTTAAAATGTTTTTGTTCTCTTAGGCCCACTGTATGTATTGTAGTGATATGTAGTGACGAAGTCTGTCAAACACTCCTGCTGCGTCTTTCTCAAATAAGGAAGAGGAATGTATAAAGTTTTGATTACTTAAAACCAATATTAGGTACAAGTCTTATGATTAAAATCAGCACAGTAAAAGTTACTCCATCAAAAAATCAGCACAAATTCATTATTTCTACATCGCTTTCTACTTTTAGCAGTCTTAACAATTACTATACAGGAAGTTACCTTTAGTTCCCCATAACTCAATATTTCAAGACTTGCAAAAACTAATTAAATCCTTTGTTGTCAGTTTAACTATATTTAAGCACATTATATGTGATCACATCAAATATTGATCAAACACTCTTGCTGTTTGTGGGATTGTATTAATTAGTAACAATTTAAGCTTAGGCTACTCTGTTAATTTGATAAAAAGATACCTTATGCCCCATTTATTTCTCTAATATATCATAGGTC